GTGGTGTCGCACTTATAAAGCGAAAGAACAAAAGGTTTGGCTGTGAGCCAATGAGAAAGCACTGACGTCATAGCGATACTGAACAAACGATTTTCTGACACCGGCTGGATTTGATTTTTCAAAATGGCGGACATACCTTAATTTAAGGTTATAAAATGCTAATTTGCCAAACATTCTTTATATGCACGCTTATGTTCTTTAACGGCCTTGTAATTTATGCTATACATACAGTTATATATTAAAATAAGCGTTCACCTTACGTATCTTGAGTTACATTATCCAGATTAAGCCTTGATTGATGACGTTCGTTTAAGGTTCTCTCTGCCATCTAATATTACACATTGCAGCGAAAGAGTAGTTCAAATTCGTCGACAACGTCTACCGTCTAGGAATGTCTACGAGCGAAAACAACTTCTGGTGCCTCGCCGCCTAAAGCCACACAATTTTCAATGTTATTCCACCAGATATCATTGTGTCCGCAACGTTTAGATTTGAGGGCAGTTAAGTAGCGAGATCCCCGAGAACTGGAAGCTATGGAAAGAGAAATACTGTAATATTTACTTGGTTTGGATCGGGAAAGCCCCGAGTATCAACTCGCCATGTTCAAGGACGTTATTGATGACGATGGCCTTTAAGTGTTAAGCTTTACTGAAGAAGAAGATGCAAACGATTGCCGTGTAGTAATGGGGATAATGAAAAGGTATTGCATCGGCGAAGTAACGTAAACGAGATTGTTGCAGCAGGAGGGAAAAACTTCCTACCGAAAAGCTCGACAACTTAGTCGCTGAATTAAAAAGCTAGAACCTTGACAAAGAGCTGCAATTTATCTGGTTTTTTACGGTTTTTACACGATACTCTCATCTGCGTTCGACTGGTCTTGGGATAAAAACATGAGCAAAGCACAAAGCGGCCACTTAGGATGACAGACCCCACGTTAAACAAGTGTATCGACCTTCCAGCATCCGAGCTGCAAATATAGGAATCTTAACAATGACGACGGCGACGCCGAGGTCGACACCTCGTAAAATTGAATTTGTCCAGGATGTCTATGGCTCTAAAACCTCGCTCAGGCTAAATATGTAATGACAGCGTTCAATTCTAAATGGAAATACGAAAAATTAGCAGTTCGACTCATCGTTCGCGTTGGCGGTCATTTTGCGTTGTTGTTTTGCAGTGGACGGCTATGAAATGTACAAAGGTAATTCACTYAACACAATTGTACAGCCTTTGTTTTGCTCATTAAGCCTTTTGCTTGGTGGTACTCATTGACGTCGTGGTTTGCTCCAGACTCCGTCCATACCATGCCGGAGGAATTTAAAAACGCATACAGCTTTATTTCTACGGTTAGCCCCGCGGTCCAGAGTAATCTGTCACGAAAACGAAGCTTTTCGAAAACGCTCTTCAAACCGGAGGAATTTGAAAACGTCGGCTTTGAGTTTTCATGTGGACGGAAAACATTTAAAACAAACCTTTTCGAACACGATAGGATCAGGAGAGCCACGTGATTTCCCTGGCTGAGATTTCCTCAGACAAAAATATAAAACGACCGGTGATTGTTGCGATTTTAATTGCTCCGGTGTATTGTGGACGACCGGGCCTAAGCATCCTAGGCTCCTAATGACGTCAATAATCAGACTGCGTTCTTCAACGAGTCCAACGAGAAAAAAAACTGAAGGAGGTCCCGCGTAAAGGAGAAATGCACCATAAAGAATGAAACACCGTAAACAAAATAAATATTTAGGAATGGAACTCTTAAAGGATAGTTGTATGTTACTAGCATTATCATGGAGGCTAAATAAAGTTTTACTTTTCTTACTTTTACTGTCGGATTTATCAATATCAGAAGGAACCGGAACACTTTTAAGAAAAACTCTTGTTATTCATTAGTAATAGACCATCTGTTTGGGATTCACCTATCCAAAACGAAATTCTTGACATCCAGATCTTGGATATACAATTAATTATCGAATACCAGGGTATGTAAATCGCATACCTAAAAGGAAATTCATGAATCCCATCCAGATCTAAGGCGTACAACGACAAGCCGCTCGTTTTGTTAAACATTTGTA